AGGTGAAAATATCGCCAACTTTCTGTATTTGTGTGACTTGACTCTTACTCTGCTTATTATTACTTACTGGCTGTGAAAAGTGGGGGGTCCTATTGGGAAGATTGTCTTTATTCATGCAATATACAATCTTAGACATAAACCGACTTATGTTGCTTAGGATTCTAGTAGATAATGCGGACTTTAATTAACTGTACTGTAGTTGATCAAGGGAGACAACTTGTCTTGTGACTGTCTCAACAGAAAAGAGTTATTTCCCTTTTGGCGACATCCACACTGACGACTACATGAAGTTGAAAGGGGGGGGGGTGTTTGCCCGACAAACGCATATAAGTTCATCAGATCGAGAGTTTAAGTCTTGGAAAGTGTGATATTTGAAGATAAATATATACATTCAATGATCATACATACATTTAATGAATTGAATAGGTGTGATATGAAGAGATAATTATTTTCATCCAATTATCACACAATATATACTTGTAAAAGCATGGTATGTGAAGAGAAGGAAGCTCATTCAATGACCACGCACAAATACTATTAATAAAAGTGTGATATGTGAAGAGAAATTTAGACTCATTCAATGACCACATTTGATTGATTAAAACGGGCGATATGTGGTGAGAAAACGTCACCAATGATCACCCAAACGAAGTTTTCTTACTGCAATGTAACCTGACGTTAAGCCAAATTCTTTACTTTTATACCACTGGGAGATGCATACAAATCTTCTCAAAGACGAGGAACTAGCTGTCACAAGACAAATATCTCCAACTCATGAAAATAAACTTCAGATGAAATATTAGAAGTGAAGAAATTGATATTTTATGAAAATAAGAGAAATTTAACGTCTACGTTATATAATGAAATTACAGTATTAACTATGCCTATATTAAAATTTCCTAACTAAAAAAAATTGTTAATGCAATAAAGTAATTGCAGAATACATAATGAACAAATAATATAAATAAATAAAATAAATTAAAGTAGATACCCATGTCTTGCTATCTTAAATCTAGCTGTTACATACTGCTGTAAATACCCAACGAATTTGGGCTTTGAATGGTCTCTTGTCTCCTTGCTTGTACACCGGCGTTCTGGCTTCTGATTCAAAATTTCCCGGGTCTTAAATACCGTATAGTTGGAAATTTGTTGGAAAACCGTTGAAAGTTGGAATACTGTTGGAAAAGTGTTGAATTTTGGATAAATTGGAATATTGTTGGAAACTCCCAACTAGTCTTGAGACTATTGATCTATTCCAAAATAAGGATTATTTTCAGACAAAAATATATATTTGTTGAAATTATCATAAGAAAAGAATACTTTATTAAAACTTTATTCAAAATATATAGTCGAATCACGATTTGGTAACTCGTATCGTTCTCCGTACTGTTGTACTATACTAAATCTATCTTGCGCATGCTCATTAAGATATAAATAGAATTGGCTGCGACCTACGGATGGTACTTGTGATGGATCAAATGAAGACCAGTATTTTATATAAGGATCGATGACATCTGTTGAGTATCATCTCTGGTAATCGAATATAATCTCCTCAAACACCCCAAGTTTATAAAACTTCTCTTTATTGTGCCAAATTAGCAAATGCATCCTATGTAATCGTCAGTAGGTCAGGCGTCAATGTACACAGTGTACCGTAATCGGCTGAGATTCAGCAACTATTCTCTGTTAATTGGTAATTATTTTCTTTCTATATAAAAAAGAACAATTGTTGAATAAGCCCGAAAATCAGTAGTTGTCATGAGTAATTCAGGTAGTCTTATATGCCATTGATTGTAGCGTTTTACGAAGGTTCGTCAATTACTGTAAAGACTGTAAAACTGACTGTTACAGATGATTATTTTCATTTCATCTCTGAACGTCAAAAGAAAATTCGTTCCACGCGACGAAACTTGACCGAGTCATATGCTATGGTACAAGGCTATGACATGAGACCCTTTCCCAAAATCAACCGATTAAAGGAGGAAGCTGGGCAATAAGTGATTGTTCAAAGGAACGTTAATTAAAGCATGATTAGCTGTCTTGACAATCAAAAATTCTACGTAGAAGATTTAGGAAACAGTCGAGTCTGATTGGTTAATAGTAATTTATGGGCATAACTTTGTAAGGAATTAAATGTTTTGCTTTGGAGAAATTCTTCAGTCTTCAATCTTCCTTGAGAAAAATTTGCAAGTACGTTTTCGTTCTTGAGTAAGGGGCCGGATAGTTGTCTCATATAGGAGACAGACTATACGTGAGGTTCGTTGAAATGAATAAGAAACGGCAAAAGGTACTCAATCTTAGTTTCCCGATTTTTAATATGTTATTTAATTTGTTCATTTACTTGCAAATGTATTGATATTATGATGTATGTATGTATGATTTCATTTTTCAGTGTTTTAGTGAAATGTTAGTCATGACATTTTATTCTTTGATTTTCTAATTAAGAATTCATTTGGAGAATTGACAAGGCTACATGTAATTGAATGTTCGTTGAAAGAATTGACAAGATTGCATTAATTGAATCTTTAATACATAGGAGTGCTTAGGAATGTTCAATAATTAAGCTAAATCAATGATGGCTAATGTTTTGTAGTCTTATGAATTAACTCTATGTCTAGTATTACATGTATTGAGTGTATATCCATATACTAGTTTGCAATATTTAATTGATCACATAAACTATTTTAGAATAGTTAGATTTGATGGTCTAAGCCATATGTAATTTAACACTGCTAGATAGTTTAATGCAAGAAGTCAATGTGTGTTAAATACGAGCACATACGTCTTAACGTGGAGTGGAATTTAATGATCTCCACTAGCGTGACCCGCATTAAGGTCAGAACAGGCAATGACCGTCTATGTAAACATAGTAATTAGTTAACGTGAATGCAACAGAATATATGCCTTTTGTTTTCTGAGCCGAATTAATGTAAAAATATAGATATACTTGGAAATGTGACCTTTTGTCTATTGCGAGACATTTTGTTTATTAAAGAAAAACAGCTTTCCTAAACTCTCCCGAGATTCTTAAACACTACTGATATTCCCTGAAAATTCCTGCACCAATTTCAAGAACCAGAGCATATTCTGAGCCAAAGTTTAGGTCCAGAGACGATTGTTAAATCAGAGTTCGACTGGCAAGAATCCAGGTCCAGACAACTAGACAAAGTTTGGCAGAGCAGGGACGAACGGAGGACTCGAGGCCCGGATAAGAAAGGTGATGATGTCGCTCATCGTTGCACTCAAAAGGTCACATCTCATAGGCAATGAAGAATTGAATTCTGTCACGGACCAGTAATCGTAACAGTAAAGAAAATTTGTATTTTTTTTAATTTGAGTACATGTTAGTACATTTTTCCTTCTTTTGTAACCAAGTAATTGATTTTTTTTTCATTTTAAATTCTGTTGTTAAACTGATTAAATTTTATGTTTGTTCATTGAACGGGGGCTCGTTATGTTTATTTCTTCAATATACTTGTTCATAGATCTGCATTCTTCTTTCTATCTATCCACACTGGGTAAATTACACCGCGGATGTCATTTCCTAGCAGCGAACCGTAGTGGAAGAGGTTGGTGTGTTGTGAACGCCGCCAATTTAGCAAAACACATCAATATTCTACGTTACATTATTCGATATCTAAGTCTCATCGTTGTGGCAGTTTTATTTGATTATAAATTAGTCACCATAAAAGTAAAGAAACATGACATTGTAAAAGTTACAATGTAGCCCATTTAAAGTGGGAACTAAGATGTTAGGAAAATGCAAGTTGGAATATTGTCATTACTGTAATGACCCGTTATTATAACAGATGGAGCAGTTGCAGTGCTAAAAAAAATTAGACATAGGCCCCGGTCTGGTGACTTAAATAAACTCACAAGCCCTGGCTAAAATTCCACAATCCCGGACAGTTCATATCTGTCAACTCTCAAGCCGGGAGAAAAATCTCCCGGTTTTGGAGGTATTTCCACACCTATTTCCTGATCTCATATTTCCCGATTTTTCGCAGAGAACTCCCGATTATTACATTATATCTGTCAATATTCATGTTTTTGTTTTGTTTTTAAAAACAAAAGCCAAATGTTCATAAATAGATATAGCGTATGCATGCACAGATGCCACATTATATTTTATCACTTGTGAATACTGCTGTGCCGAAATAATATCACACTGCTAAGGTTTTCTTCTTCAGTAAATACTATGTTAAGATTAAACATCATAAATGTAAATTCAAGTTTTGTTAAGCCCCTACAAAAGTATTATAGTAAAATAAAATTTTATTGCCAATTAGTTTCAATCCCATGCATGATCACTGTGAATGCTGTGTAAGTTTCTCTGCAAACTATACCATATCTCCATTTCAGCCAAAGAAACCCAACCAGTAAACACCTGGCATTTCTCTACCATAAATATAAACTTTAATTATCATGATTAAATTAAAAGAAGGAATAAAACAAAATATACCACGTAGCATATGTTTTCCGAAATAACTAATTCAGAATAAATATTTTATTTAGTAAACAGTTAAGAGTTAAACCTAAGGAAATTAGGTGGGATATAAAATGTGGCTTGATAAGTTAAAACAAAATATGGCATCGTTTATATACCAATCAAGTGCTTATATAAACTTTGTATAGCACATGGTTTCTCTGAAAGTATTTCCGTACGGCATTTATTTTCCCAAGATAAATGCAATGATAGCTCTTAATTGTTATTTTATCACTCTGTTTATGTTTGTGTACTTAAGTCTAACGTTTAGCTATTACGCAATTTAGTGCGACTGGGTGATTTGGATTTTTAACGTAGTTTTAACAATTTATTTAGTCATATTGCATTGTCTGCAGTGCAACACTGTTTCTATTGATGTCTAGCACTGGCACATCGTGGCGCAGCCCATCCAGTCACATTATCCTGACACCAGGCCGACCAGACCTTACACTAACCTCTTAGAACTGAGCGCCTAGTGAGGCAGCTGTTACCACCATTTTTATAAGTCTTACATTTAATTCGGCTGGGGTTCAAACCCATGACATCTAACATCTGAGGCGGACGCTCTAACCACTAGGCCACCGGTTAGGTCCTTAGGTAGCTTAGTTACAGCTGACCAAAATATGAAAATTGGGGCTTGTTCTACATGAAAATAAGGCGTCTTACATGGAGAAATGGTGCTTCCCATGTGAGCTCGCACATTTGGGCAAATGATGGGCGCAATAGCCGCCTACCCTAATTTCTTTGATTTACCGATATAGGGTCGTTCCATATCCTGATTCTACCTATGCATTTGCAGAATGGATTTACCCACTGCAAAGATCAACACCGCTCAGTATCCTCGGCCAATTAAGGTGAAACACTGATTTTATAACTGACCTTAATTCCCTTAATTGCTCTTACTTAAACTGCCCAAGGGATACATCTGCATCAGTTCAAATCGTTACAGATTACCGTTTTATGCATTATACATGTAACGGGTATAGACTGGAAGTTTTTATTTGTTTTTTTTATTGTTTGTTTTGGGATTTATTTTTTTTTTTAAAGATGACTGAAATTAATGTGTTCTCGAAACACGATCGTGGCGGGGATGGGGAAGGTTTGGGAGAAGAAAATCGTTTTTCTAGCAAAGCTTCCATTTGATTAAAATCAGATCTCAAATTCACCTATGACAGTTACCTGATTTAGATTGCAATGTTATGGCATATATGCAAACATCTTGAAAGCACATTTATTCACTTTATCATCGTAATCAAAGTTTTATCAATGGTTGTATTCCGGTCTATACTACAAATCTGTAAGTTTGTGTATATAGAGTATAATGCAAAAATTGATCTATGCTTGGAAAGACGTATTGGTTCCCACTGTTCCAAATTTTCATGGAATTTTTTTTATATCTGCTTTGTCTGCAATATATATATATATATATACATATATACATATATACATACATACATATATATATATATATATATCAATACATATATATATATATCCATCTATAGATATATAAACCTATCAATATATATCTAAATAGATATATATATATATACATATATATAAATATATATATATATATATATATATATATATATATATACATATACATATATATATATATATATATATATATATATATATATATATATATATATATATATATATATATATATATATATATATATATATACACATATATATATATATATATACATATATATATACATATATATATATATATATATATATATATATATGCATATTTTAATCTATTTTTATGTCAAGTGCAATCAAATTACTATATAATAACATTTACAATACTTTATATCGTATTCAATGTTATGATAAATGCATACTCCACATGAATTTGACCTATAAAAGTTAAAAACACAGTCAAAACCCCATTTAACTCAGATATTTAATGTTTTATCTGCCGGGAAAGATTTATCCTATAAACAATGTATATGACACTATTTTCTCCTAAGGTAGACGAACACATCATTGCACTTATCCCAATCTCTTAGACCGCAGCAGTTTGCAGTTAATATTTTAAAATATTGTGTTTCATTTTTTTTTTAAATTTTAAACTGTGTAAACTCCTTATCAAGTAGAGAAAACTGAGTTGCATAATCCTACTATACACGGTACTATTAATAACTCATGATTTTGTTTCCAAATACTTTCAAACAAAACCACATTGATCATACATACAAAATAATTATATGCGTATACAAAAGAAATAACTTCATCATCTCTCTCCCTTTAATACAAAAATAAACTATTACCATTGCTCAGTCCAGGTTATCAGAAAATGTATAAACTTGGGTATTTTTTTTCGCGTTTGAAATGTAAACATCGCCGCGGCTTTGTTAGTTCCTTATGCAAGTTGCCAGCCACCAAGACTGTAGAATAGCCTCTAGTCAAAGGCTTGTAGTCTTCCTTCTCGGGCGTTAAACCTTGGTTCAGAGATCAAAGGAATCCCGATGGGTGGCTCGCCACCCAGACAAACAAGGAGAAGGCATTGTCTGCTAGCTGAGTTTGACTGGGTCAGTCAACAGCGACATCTAGAGCTCAAAATCGCTGTAAAATGATTAGTATTCATGGACAGATTATAAGAAGTAAATCTAGCGGTTTTATAAGCAAAAGGAAACGCCGGGAAGACACTCGTAATTTGGCTGGAAATCTTAGGACCAGAAGTGAAGAGAAATAAAAGCTTCGAAAGGTCAATAAGTTATTTGCTCGATTTTTGCAAAACATTATGGCGTCATAATTGTAATTTTTAGTTAGTAAGTATACTTAATTATTGGGATTGTTTAGTATGTAGAATTACCTTGCAGTGTTTCATTTATAAGCGTATTTGAGACGTGGATTTGAGTTTACGTAGAGAATTATGTAGATTGTTAGCTCGCCAGAATTAATATTGTAATTCCACGGTAGGTTACATCTTAGTAATCAGTACATTTAGTAATCCGTTATGTTAGAGTTTACGCATGTGTGAATTGAAGTTTGGAAAAATGATTGAAGTATGTAAGATTAGGTACAATAGAATATATGTGAAAATATCAGAGCATGGATATTTGAATATTTGTTTATTTTGTATGTGTTTTAAGAGATGCGTCTGATTATTGTGATATTGTCAGTAATGTGATTATGAGTATGCTCTTATGTGAATACATTTATTGTTGTATGTATATGAGTAATTGATACCGTGCTTTTATTATGACATATTTATCATGTTGTAGTTTACCATGCAAGAATGTATGCGTATTTCAGTGTGAATGAATGCGTGACCAGTGGAATTTAATGGCCATTATCTGATGATAGGGTGTGTGAATGTGAGAAGTGAGCGCTGTGGAAACTATTGTACCATCATTGTTTTCACTGGAATATTTTCGGGGACAGAACTCCCATGTGCAAGTTGGTAGTCCCTAGTCTCTAAGAGGGAGAAGGAAGTGAGACTGGCAGTGCTGTCGGAGTCGACAAAGTGAAATTAACATATAGAAGACGGATAGGAGGAGGAAGGTAGTCTGGAGGAGGAAATAGAGGAGAAGGAACTTCGAGGAAGTCAGGGAGGAAGAGAGAGAATTAGGAGATAGAGAAGAATACACAGACGAGATGATCGCAAGTACAGGTGAAAATCTCTCACACTACGAATCATATGATGCGATAAGCTAGTAAAGGGTCGAGCAGCAGAATTGTATTTGGGAAATTCAAATTATAGACCATTTAATTGTTATTAAATTGTTGCTATTGAAATTCACCATTTTTGCATCTTTAATCATTTTACCGTCGGCATTGCTGACTGGGGGCTCAGAGGGGTACTTCTAACTTTCACTATATCAACTTCCAACCAAAATCGAGCCTGGGTGGAACTTCTGCAATAACTTAAATAAAACCCCACCCCCAATCCTCACAACCAAACCTCACAGTGGGGGCAACCTTTACGCTGACGAAAGACGAAAGAAAAAAAGGTACAAGAAAACACAAAATAAATAAATAAATGAATAAATATATCAACAACATCCTTGGCTCAAACATAGGCTTTTGTCAATGTTATATTTTTCCAAAAGAGGCACACATTAAAATTTGGTAAAGTGAAGGTTTTAAAAAAGACACAAGTTCCCTCGCCCTTACAGTAATAAACATAATGTCTAAATTAGAAACGATGAAAGTTAAAAGGTATCCTTATAACCATTGTTATTTTCATTTGACATCAATGGAATAAATGAGAAAATTCAGTAATAATATCAAATATTTTATTATCGATTTTCGCATGCATAGAACTTGGATACTTAGTGTAGATAAGTCACGCTTATTAACAAGTGTTTCCAAATAGTTGCATGTGCGTCACAATAAAACGTCTTTATTTCTTTCATAAGTGATGTACTTGAACTTTTCAGTAACGGCAAATGGTAGGAACGCTTGTGTTTATGCAACTTCTCAATCTGTTTTGATATGGTCCTAAACTATAGAGGAGCGTTAGTTCACTGTACCGTCTGGACTCATGACATCTTGACTCATGACAACTCATGACGATGTGGACAAGTGTTGAATTATTAACCATTATTTCAAACGTGTTGTTTGTTTAAGAGTACCCAATGCATGTCAAAGCAACGTCGCTATCAAACGCACCACATAAATAGCTATTTGAATACTGCTCTATGGGCCATCTGTAAGAAGAAGTTTTAGAGGAAATGAGCAGCGATGCTACCTGTGTCAACCATCGTTGGCTAACTTGACTCTTGTAAGGGCAATCCAGGTATCCTCGAAATAAGAGATACTATTCAAAATAATTTCCAGTTTGTGTTTCATGTTTTATGTTTTACATATATGTATATATGTCTATTCACAAACAACTAAGGCTTAAATACGACCTCTGTTTCTCTTATGTGTGATGCAATATTATTGTCCTGAACATATAAACACTACTTCCCCTTTGACTGTATGATAGAATGTTTGTGTGAGTACAGCTTGGATATAAACACTCATATCTTCTTGTACGTGTGTGATAGTGTGTTATTCATTCCCCTTCTTTTACATCTCATTTGGTTGGATAGTATCTGTAGGTTTTGGTCATTGCGGATGGAGTGTTTGATAGTTTTTTTTAAAAAAATGAGTGTTGTATAGTAAAATAAAAGCGGGTTTTAGGTAGTAAAGCGAGTGTTGCATGGAACTGAACAAGTAGGTGTTGGAGACTAAATAAGAAGTGAGTGTTGGATATAAATAAAAAACTAGGTGTTAGAAAAAATAAGACGGTGTTGGATTGTTGATAACTATTTAATAATACAATTCATGAAGACACCTCACATGCCGCATATAATATTGTTATGACGCTTATTCGCAACACCGTGAGTTTCTTTTCATATATTTTTGTATTCTATGGAAATAAATTTGTTGAGAATTTTACAAAACTTGTTAGTTTTTGCTTTTTTTCTATTACTTAGATTAAGACCATATAATCTATATACTTGAGAGAATGCTGGTGTTAAATTTCGTTGAAAAGTGGCAAGACGTTGGCTTTTGTTTCTGGATTTTCAGTGGTGAAAAATGAATATGTCTTGTTTTCAATTCTTTCTGTATAGATTGAT